CAGGTGTGGGACAGAGAATAGGACCCATTTGTTGTGCTGTTGCTGTTCAGCACTAGCAGTGTGCTCAATGAGTCTATTCAGGGGCTTTTGAGCCCAGACACAAGCACTTTTGTTTTCTTTGGGCCCTGCTCTATAAAGGTCACATTTGCCTTTTCCCAGTCAGAGGGTTTCTGGGGGGCGGAAGACTGTTGCAGACCTTTTGAAGGGAAGCACCCAACTTGTTCTCTGTTCACAAGCCTGGTCCATAAACCTGCAAAACAAGAATATGTAATGTAGGGGGAACTGAATGAGCCCTACCCATCATACTTGTGCCTACTTTTTTTCCTTTTTCCATATGGGAAGGCTTTTGCCAGGACGCCAAATCATTTTATATACTGGATTTTAAGAAACTTGCATCTCCTTTACTTGGCAACAGGCCTGGGAAATCAGTTTACTAAGAAACCATGTATTTTTGCCTTAAAACTGGAGTGGCATTACTTCATTCATATGTACATAAAACAGTGATTAAAGAAACAGAAGTGTCTTTAAAGATTATTTATACCAAGGGACTCAAATAACTGCATAATGTGGGACAGGTTTGAGCTTTAATGCTTTGATACATGATATGGCACCACAGTAATCCATTAAACATGGCAGTGTGGAGTCTTGACATTGAAGTCACTTGTTTTCTTTTGCTGGATACACTGAAAGAAAGTACTGAGGTCTTCAAAAAGAAGATCCATGACTAGATCATACAGAATGAGAAATATAAAATTTGTTTCTGATTAATTCTGTCAATTATTGCTAAGCAGAAATAGGCCTTTGGTCTAAGCCAGCTTTTTACATTCCCTTGATTAGTCAGTGGGGCTAATATAGTGTAAACTGAACAGGATTTGGCCCTGGCATTCAAGCACAAACTACTCTTTCACAACAACCCCCTTCTGTTTCCACATTTTTCTTGTGAGCAGTAATCTTTCTGGTCATTTCATGCTACTCTCCCAAATGTTCTTAGAATGGGACAAGTACAATGCTTCAGTTTCTTTTTGTAGTATGAGGATTTAGCAGTCAAATATGGAAACACAGATGCGGTTTTCAAAGCACTTGATAGTGCTTACATAAATATATATAAACATCTGAAAAAATGTTTATTTTTTCTGTGCAATATTCCAACTCCAATTAATTTATGTTTGCTGCTGGGAAAATAATATTGATCATAAAAGTGAAATGCTGGTTGGAAATCCTTAGGATTCTGTAATAGAATATTTCATTCAGGATGAAATGTGAGAATTGTGGGCTTGATTTTGCTGCTGCTGAAGCCAGTGGATGAATGCCCAATTGCCTTCAATTGGAACAGGATTGAGTCTTCTCTTTTGCAGAAGGATATATTGAGCAGTCAATAATCCTTAATCTCTGTTTTAAAGTACTTCAATTTGGTAAAGTTTTAGTTCTGTTTCAAGCCTGGAGTAATTTGGCTGAAATTGCATTTGATATATTTTCTGGAAGTCTGTTTTCTGTGTCTGCTTAGGAGTCTGTTTCTGTATTCTCAAATAGAAATGAACATATTTATAGCAGCCATATCTCTAGACTGTTTCCTTACCATATTTGAAAACAAAAAAGGTATATGTGGCAAGATGCTGTTTCTATGAAGTGGGTTTCATATGGTACACCTTCCTTTAGTGCAATCAGTTGTGTTTGAGACAGATATATAAAAGGATACAAATTCTTGGAAAATAACATTTTAAGAACTTGATGTGTGGCTTGGTTTTTGTTTTTTGTTTTTAAGATACTATGCGTACTATCACCTCCTAAAGATAGTGTGTGTTTCTTAGCTTGGATGCTGACCTTTGAGAAGGTGTTAAAGGCATGCTATTCAAGTTGAGTACTGTAACATAAAAAGTGGACCTGGAATTTTTTTGGAGGTTCACCTATCTAAAGCATAATAAATTGGTCATTGGCTATGCAATTTCAGATGTTTATCATCTACTTAGTTTTCTGCTTCAAAGTTTTACTGCAACCAAGAGGAAACATTTTTTTGTAAATAAGAATTTGGAAATTTCATAAGAACTCTGGAAGTCAGGCAGCTATAAGTAGAAGATTAAGTATCATGGCATTTGCAGAAAAATCATGAGGGATGGGAATAGGGTAAATGTCCAGGAGTGGTTTGAAAAACCTGAAGACCTTTACCACAGACCATATGTATGTCTGGGACTTGATTTAGCTGCTGATTGTGAAATAGTTGTTTCTGTTAATTTCAAGTAATGGTCTTATGGTATGTTCCAGGGCAGAATTTAACTCAGCAAATTCAGACTGAAATAAGTGATAATCAAAAAATTATTGAGAAATTGTTAAGTAACAGCAAGGAGTATCATTCATTAAATGAAATAGGGACTAAATCATGAACTCTTTGCTGGAGCTTTATACAGGTAAAATACTGTTGAAACAAAGGCTCTTTTCCATTCCTTCCTTGTGACCTGTCTGCTTTGCCTTTCTCTTTCATAGACTGTGCCTGAGTACCCACACAGATGTGAGGACTAGGGGTAGACTATCAACCATTTTTCCAGAGCATGTCTTCTTACTTGGGGTCCACAAAGTGTCCTGTGGAGACTGTAAAAATGTGTGTAGAGGTGAACAGAGCTGCTTCAAACTGAGAGTTGATAGACCTATCATTCAGGCCTCTAAGGACCTGGTAGAAAAGGTAATGCGAAGTTCTGCTATTGCTTTTCACAGAATTCCTGTAAAAGATCTTTGTCAGGTCATGGAAGTACTAGTATCACATCTCTGTGCAAAAGTGGCAGGAATAGGGCTGATGGAGTTATCAGTAGAAGTCTTTTGCACCTCTCTGGTTCTAGCAGAAAAAAAAAAAAGTTAATGAATTAGTGAGTTCACTTGCTCCATTGTCTATTCTTGTAACCAAAGGAAATATCCATATCTCTGCTCTGCAATAGATATTCATCTCCCATATTGTTTTTTTGTAGGTCCTGTCTTCTTTTTCATAGAAACAAAACACCTTTGGCATATATGGAGTTGGTAGCATCTCCAGGTGATGTTAAGGCTGAGATTCCTTTGTGTGTTAAACTCAGGGTAGTATTTAGGGCAACTATTAATGCATTAAATAACTAACTCTCAATTCAAAAGTAGTGTCTGTTCAGTCTGCCCAAAGACCTGATGCCTTCCAATTTCTTGGTAATAACTTGTGTTTTTAAGTCTTATAAAGTTGACCTACTAGCTTGTGTTTTCAGAGAGAAACCTCTAAGGCTTTTTCAAAGCTGCGGTTTCTGCACCATGCCTCTGCTGTGCTGTGCTGGGAAGCATGATGATAATTGACATTTTTGATGTCTGTGATTTTCCTTCTTTGCCTGTTGAAGATTTAATACTGTTTACCTTCTTGTTCTCTGTCTGTCCCATAAGAATATTTATGCCTCTTCTATAACAATGTGCTGAAGGCTACTCTGTTCAGCAAAATTTAGTATATTGCCCATTTAGATTAAAAATAGATGTAATTTTAGAAATGCTGGGGTTGGAGGGGTGTCTCATTTTTGTCAGCAGTGCTATAGGAATCATGAAGTCCCATCGTCCCATCTTATGTTAGAATTTTATCTTGTTTGTCTTATCTCTTCTGATAAGTCAAAGTGAACGGAATAGCTTCTCTGAGTCATAATAAAATAAAGCTCATGGGACTGACAGGGTTTCTTTCAATCAATGGAGCTTGAAGTGATACACCTTTCTAGGCAGCATTGTTATTCTTCTATGTCTTCCTGTGCATGAAGAGCTGTAATTATGATAAGGATGATGAATATGTCAGACTGCAGTGTCTAGCAGTCTTCTGGAAATTTGGTTGTTTGTTTAGGTCTGTGAAAAAGCTACCTGTCTTCTATACTTTGTGACTGGAGCAAAAAAGTAAATCAGAAAGTGAAGTTGTTTAGGGCATAAAACATTCCCCATACATGTTTAGCCTTCCACCACGTTCACTGTAGATGAAGATGACACTTCATGGCAGTGCTGCCTGGCTTTATAGATCTGAGCTATTCTAAGGCAAGATCACTGAACAGGTACTGTCTGTAACCCAGATAATTTGACTGTGGTAGTTACCGCTTCTTCTTTCAGCACTATACTGTTTCAAATGTCTGCTCCCTTGATATCTCTGAATGTCTCACTTTCATCTTTATCCTCACGTTCATGAAAACCGGAGTCCTGATCTTGCCATATGAAATCAATACATGAAATAGATACGTAGTTGTCACTATTGGCCAGCGCCTTCTAAGCATCTTGGGTGCACTTCCAGAAATAATGTAAAGGAGGAAGTAGCAATGTGTTTGTGGAATACCTCAGAGGAGTAAAGGGGAGGGAGAGGAAAGAGATCATCACTGAAGAAGTGAATAAACAAGATAATCTGCCTAGCAGATTATTGTAATTAGTGACGGAGGTCACTTAATTGGATAAGGGCAGAAAGAAGTACAGGTATGTGATATTGACAGCAATCTTGAAAGGTTTTATTTTCACGGAGTGTGAGTCAGTGAAGCACTTTGCAAAGGATGCAGAAGACTCAGAGCAAGAGGACCGGCTGGTGGGAAGGAGCAGCATAAAGATACAGGAAATGAAGCTGAAAATAATTTCATGGAAAAAGGGGAGCAGAAGGGATGGCTAAGAATAATGCCCATTATCTTTCACTGTATTTCTCTTTATCCAGCTGTAACATGTTCTCAGTCAGAATTGTGTTTTCCTCTGTTTGGAAGGTCACTTGCATGCTTTTGTATGCTACAGAAAGTAGTAGATACAATACAGTAGGCTATTGTTACCTGCAGAATAACAGTCTAGGTTTGAAGTAACATTGTTTTTCTTATCTATAAAGATTCTTCCACCAAAATCTAGGATTTTTGTACATGTGAGAAGTCTGTGTGAATTTTTTAAGTTGACTAAATCTTCAGCAATGAAAGAATGTCTTTCTAGTTTATTACTTAGTTATCCAGGCCTTGACCTAATGAAGAATTGTTTATCTTACAGTTGGTGTTTGCAAACAGGAGATGCTCCAGAAGAAGAATGCTGTTTTGGTGGATGGGATCATCCTAAATGGTCCAATAATGGACTCAAAAGCAGGAGAGAAGTTTGTGGAAGAAGCCTGTAAGATTATACTGGAAGAAGTGGTTCAGAAAGCTGATGATGTAACAGAAAAGGTAAAGCTGTAGAGTGTTGTGAAAATTTTTAATGGACATAATGATCAATTTTTTGTGTAAGCTGTGTTTTATTACACTTTTAGTAGCCTCAAAATTGCTTCTAGTCTGTGCCTGGCTCTGAAGTAAAAAGACAGCCTTACAGTTTAAAGAAGAATATATTATAAAACCTTTCAATAACATAATTAGCATACATATCTGCCAGAAAATAATGAGTGTTCTTTTTATCTCAGAGTACAATGGTTGTTTTCTGTGAGATCACAAATGGCTGTAGTGTTGTTCTTGTTTGGGGTGGGGGCGAGTTATTTGTCTGCTCCTCAGAGGCACTGGTGTTGGAGAAGGAGGAACAGTGGATGTGGTACGACTGTGAAAGGGCAGCATTGTGAGATTGCTGTAGGTTTTGCAGAACCCCTGCTTGAACAGGCTGTACGGGAAGAGGACCTACAAATAAATCATGCTTGCCTTTGGGTGGGTACTGATTGTTCCCACCCCTTGGCAGAACAGCATCTGAAAATGCTGATTACAAATCCTTAGATAAGATCAGAATTTGAGCTTCAGGCCTCATGCTTTTCTGCCTTCCAGCATTCCGCACTCCAGTTTTTATGGTTGAGCAATGCCTGAGACAGAATAAAACCAACATCCCATGAGACCAGTTTAGCAGATATATTTTTGGTGGCATCCTGCCCTGCAATGGGGCAGTTTGTGAAAGCTGTGCTGAATGTGATGCTTATCTTGTCCTTTTAATAACCTCTTCCTTTTTGCTAACATGTTCACTGATGGTGTCTGCTCCCCTCCCCATCACTAGGTCTGTGAATGGCAAGCCCCTGAAACACTGAAGCAGATTCTTGACCTGGAAATGAGGGACACTGGAGAATCTCATCATAAACTCCTGCAGCTCTGCCAGGATGTTATACAATACAGCGTCAAAACGAGTAGGAATGTGATTTCTAGTGCAGTTATTTTGTATGCTAACTTAGAAACACAAGATAATATCTGCAAATTTCCGTGACCTTTCAGGGGACCCTGGGGTGGAGAGTGGTGAATGGTGAATGTTTGTTTTCTACCTGCCTATATAAGTATGCAAACACTTGGCTGTGTTTCTGTTGTTTGACTAAATGCTGGTCACCATGGGTTTTACTAAAATGTGTCATAATGGCACACTAATCAAAAACTAATTAATGTAATGCCATTGGCATTAATAGTAGGTTCTGTAATTTTGAAGTCTTGTGAAAGTCACCTAGACAAGTATGATATAACAGTCTAGCAAAGCAGACAGGAGAAGGACCTTTGTGTGAGGTTTCTTGCTGTCTGAGTGATGAGATTTGGAGTTGCCATCATTGCCCTCATATGTTCTTAGTGATGATTACCCTCTATTTATTACTGTTCTTTTTGAGCAATAGTCTTGTAGGGTGTTAATTTGCTGATAGGCAGTAATTCCTGATCCAGACACTGAGAGAAGAGAGCCTGTAGTGTTTCAGAGACAGTATGCCGCATCTCTGCAGGATTAGTTCTCTACAGCTAACCTTTCTGCAGCATGTGTAGGATAATTCAATCTTAGTGAAAAGGGATGAACAACATCTGTTCAGGAAATAGTGCTGTGAATCAGTGGCTCAGGATTTCAGATATGGTATGGCTTAAGCTGTGTTTTGGGAAGTGAGAAGGACATTTGGTATAGTTGTGCATTTCCAGGCTATATTCCCTGCTGCAGTCACTGTTGATACAAAGCAAAACCCTAAAATAATTCTGAGTGAACTCATGCCTTTGGAAACCATAGAAGGTTAGCAATACTGATCTGCAGAGGGAGTGCACTAATAAGCAGATATAATTACTGAGTTTCTGGAAGGTGTTACTTTTTGCTTCTACAAATTGCCTTGAGATTATCATTTGTTGCACTATGTCACCTTAGAAAGAGACATAAAAATATGCTGTGCAAAGAGTCTTTCATCTAAGTATAAACATTTATTGAAGCCCCAGATATAAATGGAGCCATACAGTTTGCCTGGTTTTGCATGTAAAAGTACTATGCTGTGGATTAAAATTTAGGTGGTGATCCCACTGTTGAACTGACTTGTTTTTATAGTCAGCAATAGTATAGAATTTTGTCATAATTGGTTATATCTCACTGTTTCAAGGCAGGTAAAGAAATTCTCTTCACTTCTCATTTTAAGTGTGCAACAAATTTTTCCAAGCTGTTATACTGCCTTTCTTTCTCAGTATTGAGACACTGGTGGGAGCATAGGTACAGCTGCCTGGGATAAGCAGGTTCTTGTGTTCTCCTGCTTAGTAAAACTTAGCTGAGCATCCATTGTGGCCTCTCAAAACCACTGCTAAAAGCCACTATGTATACTTCAATTGTCAATTCCATTTCCTTTTTGGATTTGGAAAACTGCTGAACAACACATTCATTCTGCACACTACTTGCATCTCTCAAGCCTTGTTTTGGCATCTGAAGGTGCTTATTAAATGTACTTTCGAAGGATTGTCTAATGTAAGAAAAGGACAATTAAATCCAGAGAATATTGAGAGAACTGAGTGAATTGTGGTTTGCAATGATCAGCATTCAACTGAGAGGGACTAAGATGTATTCTCTTTCCTTGTGTATCCTGTCACTTGCTTTTCATCTGTGTTTTCAGGCCATCCAAGATTTTTCAATCAGCTCTATGCTGGAATAGATTATTACTCGTTAGTGGCTCGTTTCATTACAGAAGCACTGAACCCAAGTGTGTAAGTGTGGTTCTTTGTCCTCTTAATGATGAATCAGTATGGTTTTTTTGTGTAAGAGGTTTTGGTTTTTTTGCTTCCTTGCTTCTGCATTATCTTTTCAGTATTAGAGAAGAGGTAGGAATTGTGCAGGAATCTGGGAGAGAAAACAATCTGATTCAGATTGGCTGAATAGCTCACCAGAAGCCTGATTAATCTGATGAGGCCTTTTTTTTTTCTAGTTCATAAGGTGGGCTCTAAGGGGTTTTTTTTCCCCCCAATGCTTTTAAACCTAGACTTTTATCTTACTTAGTACTTAAAAAGGAATTAACCAGACTTAACTTAGTTGTTCATATCCTTTGAAGCATTCTGCACAGAGTTGAATGCAAATTGGTACCTGTCTACTGTTTACTTGCAAATGCAAAGCTGAAATTTAAGCATGTGACCTACATTAAGAAAAAACTGATGTATTACTTTGAGAGTGGAAGTGTCCGTGGTGCTGCCAGGAACTAAGCAATTGCTCTACTGGGTCAGACCCATAACGTTTTTAGTTTAAAGTTCTACTGCTGATGGTGGTCAGCTGCTGATAGATTAGAGAAAGGTGCAAGAAGCCTTTATCTAGTTTTAGCAATACTCTGTGTCATGAATTCTGTAGTTTTAATACCAACTGTGATGCTTTTATTTTTGTTCAGATATACATATGAAGTATCCCCTGTGTTTCTGTTGGTGGAAGAAGCAGTCATCAAGAAAATGATTGAGTTTATAGGCTGGGAAGAAGGCGATGGTATATTTAATCCAGGTAGGAACAATTCAGACTTCAAGCTGAGTCATTATAAACCACCTAATGCCATTAATTCCATGAACATTGGAGCCATGTAGAATATTTGAAAATGCATGCAAAAGTTTAGTGAGACAGCTACACAACTATTTAATCTATGTGTTCTAGTAGTAATTCAGTGATTCTAATATATAATTCTATGGAAATTAATTGTTTGTATCTGATGCCCTTCCTAACCTTGTCAACAACACTACCAACAGCCTCATTAGAATGAGTGAATTTAGTTGACAGACAGGAAGCTGATTTACATACTAGACAGCAATCAGTGGTCCCTGAGGGCATGGATGTGTGTATCCTGCCTATGAATTGTGGGAGCCAGAGTTTGTTAGGAGTTTTGTGAGCTTAACTCTTCTGAGTTTTTATAATTTTATTAAATGTTATGATAAGGCTAAACAAATATTAATGAAGCTGCTTGATAAGCCATGGTTTTCAAATGTTCTGTAAGGCAGTGTTCCAGACCACTGTGTTGAAACAGTACTCTGAGTCCTGGTTGCCCAAGACGTCCTAGGCTCTGTACAGTGCAGCCACAGCTGAGCTTGGGTCAGGCAGCTGAGCTAGCACTGCTTCAGTGTAGATGGGAAGGATCTGTGCCAGGGTTTTCTCTGTTGGGAAGGACTGCTTGGGCACAGCTCTTATTCCTCAGGAAGTATCCCCAAAGAGCATTCAAACATGTTCTGTTTCCATGCATGCTGCAGAGCCCAAAGTGCATTTTATGTCTGTAGCCTTTTGGGGGAGGGAATAAACGGTCATGGATGCATCACTAGGCTAACTGTATGGTTTATTTTTTCCCTAATAGGTCAAGGACTCAGATGCACAGCAGGTGCTAGTGCTGTGGCTAATATGATATTTTTATGTCTCTTTTTGCAGGTGGTTCTATTTCTAATATGTATGCTATGAACTTAGCAAGATACAAATTTTGTCCTGCGATAAAGGAAAAAGGACTTTCAGGTTTGCCAAGACTAGTCCTGTTTGTTTCAGAAGAGGTAAAAACAAAACAAAAATTTTTTTAAAACTCTTTTTTTCAATGGCTGCAAAATTATATAATTTGCATATCTGATGGGGCACTGGTACAATAATTTTGACATCAGTGTATGATATGGAATGTTGGAGCTAAGTGGAGAAGTCTGATAGTAAATTTCCCTGCTGAAGCTTCCTTGCTTTCAGAAAACAAACACAGATCTTCCTGCTTTGAAAATTACTGATATAAGAATAGCTTGTACATGGGGCAAACCTGAAGCAGAATGCATGTGACTGCAGTACTTGGTTTCCCACAACATAAAGTCTAGCAGGAACTGGAGGTAGGTTTTTGATATAAAAGGTTTTTTTCTGCATGTTTAATTTGTACTAAACAAAGCAGTTGTGGACCTGTGAGATGTAGCTATTTGCAGCTCCCATGCTGCCCTATGTCTGAATAGAGGTTGGTTGTGGTACAGAACCAAACCCACCATAAGCCTTTTGGAAAAAAATGCTGAACCTTCAGACAGTTCTTTAAATAATTGAAAAATGTGTGGCTAGTTTTAAAGACTTTGAATAATATCTGTCTAAAATGCCTGTGGGAAATTGAGTTAAATTCATACATTTATTCTGAAGGTAATTTTTGACGCCTTTTTCTCTTCCTTGTCCCTTCAATTTCAAGAGTTTATCATTTGATTAGGTCAAAGTTGTTATTAATTCTGACTCCACTATATAAAGGCCCCAGTGGAAGTGAGAACCTTGTTGTATTAGAAAGTATAGAGTTACTAGAATAATTTTAGCTCAGAAGTTTATGCTCCAGACACTTTGCAGTGTAAGTAGATGGGAGGCTTATTTTGAAGAAGCCGGAGGGATGAAGGCATTGCATATGTTGTTGAAGGCACCACGTATATTTTGGAACTGAGTCTAAATGTCCTAAATAAAGGTGATTGGTTTGTTTGTTTGCCAAGCAAAATATATTTTGTTGGTTTTCTTCCCTGAAAAATGTGTATTTGAAATGACATGCCAATTCATACTTAATCCATAATGTTACATCTTCAAAATAGCTAAGGAGGAAAAAAAATGAGGTTAAAGCAAGTTCCATTAATACTTTTCAAGTGAAGCACATAAAATTTTGTTATAAAGTAACATTATATTTCATTGCAAGTTTTAACTAAAATGTATGCTCTTGTACTCTAAAATAAGCAAACATTTAATTTAATGTAAAAAAAAAAGTTTTAATTGACCCCCCAGAGTAAATTTATTTTGATGTCTGCTTCACCAGAAAGACCAAAGCTATTAAACACAGCTGGCCAAGAAAAATAAATTGGTAAATTATTTGTAAGGCCATGCTTTATCTCTAATACTTTGCTTGATTCACAAAAGCATGTTATCTATAGCACTTAATCACTTGCTGTAAAACTGATGCTTTTAATAGTTAGATAGTCTGACTATTTTCTAAGATCCCTAGTTTTTATTTATGATTGTGAGGGAAGAGGTGGACATATTCATATATACTTATTTTAGATCCACCTATACTGAGTCCCAAGTACATGACCTTTTGGAAGATTTCCTTCAGATTTGTTATATTGAGAATATATGTAATAAGTGGTCCACACTGAAAATAAGTATGCAAGTGCTTGTGCCGCACAGTCTTAGTTTTTTTTATTATTATTTTTATTTTGAGTTGTCTTTTATTTTAATTTTTTTGCACCTTTAAATCACAGAATCATTTAGGTTAGAAAAGGTCTCTAAGATCATTAAGTCCAACCTTTGACCAATTATCACCTTGCCAACTAGACCATAGCACTAAGTGCCATGTCCAGTTGTTTCCTGAACGCCTCCTGGGATGGTGATTCCACCACATCCCTGGGAAAACTGTCCCAATGCTAAACAACATTTTATGTGAAGAAATGCTTCCTGATGTCCAGCCTGAACCTGTTCTGGTGCAGCTGGAGGCTATGTCCTCCTCCTGTTGCTCATTGCCTGGGATAAGAGACTGACCCCCACCTTGCTACAAAAAACTGTCCCAATGCTAAACAACATTTTATGTGAAGAAATGCTTCCTGATGTCCAGCCTGAACCTGTTCTGGTGCAGCTGGAGGCTATGTCCTCCTCCTGTTGCTCATTGCCTGGGATAAGAGACTGACCCCCACCTTGCTACAACCTCTTTCAGGTCAGGTATTGTTGTGAGGTGCCCAGAACTGGACACAGTACTTAAGGTGTGTCCTCACCAGTGCTGTGTACAGAGGGACAATCACTTCCCTGGTCCAGCTGTCCAAGCTGTTTTTGATGCAAGCCAGGATGCCATTGGCCTTCTTGGCCACCTGGGCACACTGCTGGCTCATGTTCAGCTGGCTGTCAACCAGCACCCCCAGATCCTTCTCTGCTGGGCTGCTTTCTAGCCACTCTTCCCCCAGCCTGTAGAACTTCATGGGGTTGTTGTGACTCAAGTGCAGGACTCAGCACTTGGCTGTATTTAATCTCATAGATCCCTCTGCAGAGCCTTCCTATCCTCTAGCAGATCAACCTCCTACCCAACTTGGTGCCATCTGCAAACTGAGGGTACAATTGATTCCCTTATGCAAAATCCTTTGTTTTGTTGTGGGTTTTTTTTGTTGTTTTGCTGGGGTTTTTGGGTCTGGTTTTTTTTTTTTCATCTGATGAGGTCTCTGGAGAAGTGAATTGTTAAAAGTAAAATTCTGGTGAAGCTGACAACCTGTGTTTATCTTCATCATGAATCAGGCATCAGCATTGGCATGGAGAAGCCATGAGGCTGTAATGAGCTGAGTATTGATAAGGAGTCAAAACACATGGCTGCTCAAGGCACTTGTGTCTTTTTAGGGCTTGGCTGCTATGCTGCGTTCAAATGAACAAATGCCTTGAGTTGCCAAGTCCCAAAGTTTCAGTCTGGCACTTGGTGGACTGAAAGAGTTGCCCTGCTGTAGAGCAGGGGAATGTACGGTCAATGACATTTTTTGTGATCTGGGGCTGTGTATTTTTTTGTATGTTCTTGGATAACGTGAAGATGTATGTTTAATGCATGGTCCACCCAAGGTCCTCACATGCTCTGTTTGGCCTTCAGGGATAAAAAGGCTTCTTGCTCCTGCAAGAAAAATGCTTAGCTACTTAAAACTGGATATATGCAATGAACACTGTTTATGCTGCTACTCTGTAGTTCTTTTGCAGGACCATTACATAGTGATTCCTCTTGAGACAGTAGCTGTAGAAGAGTAATTGTTAAATTCCACTTTCTTGAGGCATGATTTGTGGCTCTGTGGGAGCTGAATACAGTTGTAGTTATAGATTCCAGCCCACTTTTCATCACTTTTTGCTATTTGGGTCCCACCTGAACTTTATTCTGGCACAAATTGTTAGAATATGTATTGCATTGATCTGAAAGGTAGAAATCTGCTAAATTTGAGGGAACTGAGGGTAGAAGAGGATGTGTAAACAGTTGAGATGTGCATGCTGATATGAGCAGTTTTCTAGATGCAATGAAACTAAATTCCTCCCCAGCGCAACTTGATCATGAAAGTAATAAAGTGAGAGAATACAACATTAACTCACCATGTTGTCCCCTGTTGAAATTGCAACAGACAAAAATGAGTAATAAACCAATCTCATAATAATGTAATTGCTTTATGTAATCATGTTTCTAGGAAACTTTTCAAAATCAAGAAAATACAAATTTATCTTCAGTTTTAATGAGCACAGAGGGGAAGTACCTTGTCTTTGTGAGCATTATTAGGAAATGAAAACTACATCTAGCTATAGGTAAAATAGTACAGCAGCACATCTTAAATGCACTGTTCCAATTTGGTCTTGTGCTCAAAGGTGCTAATTTCTTATTACAGATGGCTACAGGTTTAATAATTTGTCCAAACAAACAAAACTGTGAAAGACAGGGCAAGAATAATCTGAACCCAGTGTTTAAAATTACATACGGAATTTAGATACAAATTTCTCCTTTTGTTAGAAACCCCAACAATAATTGTCTGACCAACCTGATCTCCTTTTA